CAAGGGTATCAGTTATTCTCACTCCCTTGATCTTGAATGGGCATTTTAGCCTTTGATCACCCACCTCCACATGTATCACCCTTTATATAGATAGATAGATAGATAGATAGATAGATAGATAGATAGATAGATAGAGAGAGAGAGAGAGAGAGAGAGAGAGAGAGAGAGAGAGAAGAGGAAGGACAAGCAAAGACAAGACATGGCTACATCTGCATCCCACTCCAGGGAGCTTCAACATTAACTGCTCCGCAGGCTAGTTTCTTGTCTGTAATTAATTCTCACTAAATTGACTCAGTCCCAATGGGCAGGGTGGCCCTCATCAACACTACACATTTAAAACACTGGAGCATAATTGGAATCGCCACAAACATCCATTCTTAAAACTTGTGCTTAGCTGGAAGCGCTGAGTGCCAGCCGCACCATCCATCACTCCCTGAAAGCTTTCTGCTCTCTCCGTCATTCTGGCCACCGTCGCACCTGGGGGTCCTGACATCCATCTAAGAGGGGGGAAGAAGGCAGAAGATACCTGGCCCTCTTCCCCTTATGCATTCAACAAATATTCTAGGGCCGGCCGAGTGGCGTGATGGTTAAGAGCTGGCTTGGGACGCCAGAGGGCCCCGGTTTGGATCCCACATATGAGGGCCAGTGACACTGCCCTCTACAGNAATTCCATTTTAAAAAATTCTAGAAAAGGCAAACTAATCTATCATGACAGAAAGCAGAGCAGTGGTTGCCTGGGGATGGGGGATGAGGGATTACAAAGGTATACAAGGAAACTTTTTTGGGGTGATGACTATGTTCTGTATTGTGATTGTGGAAATGGTTTCAGGTACATAAACATCGAATCTTATCTAATTGTACACTTTAAACATGTGCAATTTATAGTACATAAGTTATACTTCAAGGCAGACCTGGGCAGGGTTGAGGGGGTCCTGGACGTGTACCCCAGAGAACTGCCCAGAACCTGGACTTACCCCTTGCTCCATGCTGTCATTGGCATGGTCTGTGACTTTGGAGATGAGGGTCAGCGCACCTGAGGAGGGAAGCAGAGCAGAGAGCTGGGCCTTCTGGGGGCAGCCAGTCTAGTCGCCACCATCCTTGCCTCTTCCCTGCCCTCTCCTCTCTCCAACACCCCCCCACACACACACACACATACACCTAGATCACTGCACTTGCAGAGCCTTTTAAGTGGGTGGCACCAATATTTCCCATGGCCAGGTCAAGTCACAGGCCCAACTCTAGCTTTGTCACTATTGCCTAAATGACCTTGACAGTCATTTGGTCACTTTGTGCCCCAGTTTCCCTGGTTGTAAACTGAGTATATTAAAATGGGGACTGTGCCGGCAGGTCACAGCAGAAATAGCCACATAGAACTGGGAGAAAATAGGGATACTGAGGTCAGTGTTTTAGACCTGACACACCTTCTATCACCAAATTCTGGTCACCCCCTTCTCCTCCTCTGACTGGACAACACCCCATCCTAGGGAGTCCTGTGTTGAGGTGAATGGAGGATCACCTCAGAAGCCTGGAGGCCTCATGTCACTGCACCGCCAAATGGCAGGGAGGGAGCTACGTCCTGAGCTTGGAACTGGCATAGAGTCTAGCATTGGGGCAAAGCAGGACTGTGTTCCCTCGTCTGGGTTCATGCTGGACTTACCTTGTGTGTTATCATACTCGGCTGAGTCCGGGCAAAGGTTATTTAAATAGTCTGCAGGCAGAACGAGAGCCAGGAGTCAGTGTGCTCCAGTGAGGCCTGCCCCTCCTGTCCACAACAGGAGCCCCCCTCTCTCTCCAGAGATGGAAGAGAAGTTTCAGAAGAATGGGGTGTCTACCCTCTCACCCCTGTAAGCCCCATCACAACGCCACACCTGCACAAAACCAGGCCCCCAGGACCACCACCAGCACCACTGCCACCACTGCTAGTCATTCACTCAGCAAGTATCTGTTGAGCGCCTGCTGTGTGCCTGTCACTGTGCTGTGCCTTCCAACACAAACAAGGTGAGGCCCTGCATTCAAGAAGCACACAATCTACTGGGAGAGCCAAATGGGACCATCAATACAGTGGAGTGTGATGTGTTAAAACTTTAAAACTTTAACACATTTATAACCACGATGCTCTACACAGGCTGGCCTCGCTCCAGCTACCTCTTCACGTCACTCATCCATTCTGGCAATGCTGGCATTCTTGCAATTTCCTGAACATGCCAAGCTTGTTCCTACCCCAGGGCCTTTGCATTCACTATTCCCTCTACCTGGTACTTTCTTCTTCCAGATCTTCATAGGGCTCATGTCCTCAATTTGCTGAGATCTCTGGAAGGTTACCTCCTCAGAGAGGTCTTTCCCACGTGCTGTATCTAATTCAGAGCCCTGTTGCCCTGCTTTGTTTTTCCTGAGAGCTCTCATCACTGACTATAGTCCTTTTATTTCCTTATTTGTTTGTTAGTGTTTGTTAGAGTATAAGCTGCATAGTGTCATAGGGTTTGGCTGTTTAATTCACTGCTATACCTCTAGCATTTAGCACAGGGTCTGGTACATAATAGATGATGCTCAATAAATATTTATTGAATAAGATGACTAAGTTCTGTCTCCTGGCCCCTGGAATTACATGCATATCCCTACGTGTGCACGTCTGCCACCCCGAGTGGATCATCTGCTCCCCAGGCCAGGGGTCTTTTGTCCATTTGGGAGGCTATTGGGTAAATGGGTCTGCAGCTCAGGATAGAGGTGTGTGTATTTCTGGCATGTGGACATAGGGGAAAGGACAACAGTCCCTGGGGAGAATTTGTAGACAGGGAATGAAAGACGACCTAGGACTGAACCCCCCCAAACATGGACATTTACAGGAAAGTGGAGGAAGATAGCTCATCAACAGAGAGGCAAAGGAGCGGTCAGAGAGAGGCAGGGCGCGAGAACGTCACAGAGATCCCAGGATGAAAGGGTTCGAGAAGCTGGAAGTGGTCAGTGGCAAAGCCACAGAGAGGGCCAGAAGGTTCCAGGTGGAAAACATCCACTGATTTGGCCACGAGGAGGCTTTGTTGATAAGAACAGCTTTAGGGGAATCAGATACCCACTGACACAGAGAGCAAATACAGCAGGGGGAAGGTGTGAGTTTCTGTGTTTAGGATGGGAGAGGCTGGAGGAAGACAAAGGAGGTGGCCACTGAAGCACAATTTCCAAGGGGACAGCAGGGGGTCCAAAGCTCAGCTAGAGGGAAGGTGGTGGCAGGGTTTGGCCCCTGTAGGGGGACAGGGGGGAGGAACTGAGAGCAATCGCCCCCATGCCTTCCTGCCAGGGTAGTTGTCATCACATACCTTGCCACTGTCACCCCCACCCCTACTCAGGTGCCTCCTCTTCCCACACCACCTCAGTGCACCCTGACCTTCTTCCATGGGGCCCACCTGTGAGGAGCACTTGGTACTGGAAGAGGCGCTGAACAACCCGCAGCAGCCGGTGCTTCACATTCTGGCCGCCTCCTTGCTGGCTCTGCTGCTTCCAAGAGATGCGGGGGACAAAACTCCATCAGGAATTCATGTCTGAGGTCACCAGGCTCACAGAGCGCTACCTGCACTGTCCCATCCACACCTGTTCCTGGCCAAAGCCATCTCCAAACCAGGTTCCCTTCCTCTAGGAAGGCCTCCCAGGTGACACCACTCCACTGTGACAGTTCCTTTCTTCAGGCTCGCTGTCTATGCTACACTCAGTAATTAATACGCCTCTCCTAGTCCCTGCTGTGCATCCATTGTTAGTAATAGAAAAAAGCCCCCTATTTTCTGCCCAATAACTGAATCCTCAGTTGGTAGCCATTTATTGATCATGCAATCAGGCTGGAGCCCCGCGGTGCTGTGTGATTTTCTAGTGAGAAAGGAGAATGGTCACTGAAATTCTCCCCTTGGCTGGAGCTCACCAAGCGGTCATCGATTTCCCAGCGGGGGATGTTCCGGGTTCTGGGCTTTCCCTCCCGCGGAGTCACCCTCTGCTCTCCTGGCTGGGTCTTCCCCTTTGCCTCCCAGCTTTCAGACATACCAAGAAGCCCCACTGATTTGCCTGAAACTCCATGGCCCCCACCCCTGCATCCTTAGAGCAGCTTCTCAGGGGACCAAGGGACTCACCTCAAATTCACGGATGGCAGCTGCCAGCCGGGGACAGTGGAGGCAGTTCTCAGCGAGCAGACTTAGATACCTGTCGAACTGCAGGATGTGAGTAGCGTGGTGGTCAAACTCCTGCTCCCGGGCCAGGAAGACGTCGGCCACCTTCTGCTGGGCCTCCCTGCAGCCAGAGAGGGGGATGGGACAGTGAGAACGGAGCCTTGGGACCAGCTGGAGCCACGTCCCTGGGTGGGATCCCAGCTCAGTCCTCCCACACTTGGTTTTGGGCAAATGACCTCACACCTCTGTGTCTCGGCTTCCCCATCTGTCAGGTGGAGACACCGTTTCATGTGGTGGGGTTTTTAACTGTCCCCTGATCTCCTGGGGCAACAGAAGTCGGGATGGGAGTCGGGACTGCTCACCAGTGAAGCAGCCTCTCCCCCAGTTCCTCTAGCATCCCCTGGTGAAGGTCGAGGATAGCTGGCAGTTCGCTCAGGCCACGCCTCAGCTCTTCCCTGGCCAACGTGTCTTTGCCCTCTTGGTCCATTTCATCCAAAGCCCTCACGACAGCTCCGTGGAAATTCTGAAACCCCAAAGGCCTGTTACCCATGGGCTGATAGACAAAGCACAAGTCCTTCCTGGCCGTTCCCCTGTGGCTTTGGAGCCCTGGCCTACAAACAGACAGCATGGCATCTTAAGCCCGTGTCTCAGGTCCCAGCGTTCTCATCTGTAACATGGGGCTGATAACACACACCTGTGGGTACGTACCCATGGGTAACTGATGCTCAAAGAGCACCCATCACAACTCCTGGCCTGGAGTAGGGCTTAAAGCAGGTTCATGCCGCCCCCTCCCTGTGGGAATTTGGGTGCATGCTCTCCGTTTACAAGGTGAGTGAAAAGCTGGGTAATTCCGTCTCTGAAGCAAGATAAAGCTCCGCTTGACACTGACCCATCTCTGGAGAGGTTCATGAGCTGTGTTGTTGCAAAACGAAGTCTAAGAAAATCACAGGCATCCATTTTATGGAGTATTAAGCAGTCACTAAAAACGATGCAGATGGTAACTATGTAAAATATTCATGTCCTGATGCTAAGAAATCAAGAAGTTGTCTTCCCACTGCAACACAGTTGTGTAAAAAATGAACAAAGGAAAAAGCTAAAAGGAAATAGAGTGAAATGGAAACAGTGGCTGTGTCAGGGGTATGGAATTAGGCATGAATTTTTTTCCTTCTTGTCTCTATTTTCTAAAATTTCTGTACCATGATTAAATCACTTAAAAAAATTAAACTAAATTTAATAAGCATTAAAACTATAAAGAATGCACGACTTTTTTCTCACAACAAAAAATATCTTATCTTTAAATACACCTGCTTTTTTGCATGAGGCCCAGGTCTGCTGTTTTAAATATACGGGATATCCTGAAACGACCTTGAATTGTGGAGCAATGCACACCAGGAAAACCTCAGCATCAGGGGTCATGTGATCCAGCCCAAATCCGGAAGGTCAAATCACCTTTACAACATTCGGAAAGAATGATGATCACTCTGCCTTGTTTGACTGCCTCCCTGATGGGGAACTCATTACTAAACAAGACAGCTAAATTCTATTGCTGGACAGTTTTCATTGCTAGAAAGGTCTCTTCATATAGAGATCTAAAAGGGGAAAATGCCTGAGAGGATGGGCAGCCCTTCCTCCAGGAAGTCTTTCTGGTCTTCTCCCACCCAGTAAAAGAGGTGAAGGAAAGGAGGTGGGCTAGTGGTGACCAGACAGGGCTAGGAAAAAGGGCAGGGAGGTGGGACAGGGACAGAGAGAGGGGAAGGAAGAGAGAGAAAGAAAGGAAGAAAAATGAGGAGAGAGGCAGAGGAGAGGGGAGGAGAAGGGAGAGGAGGGGTGAAGAGGGGACTGAGGGAGAGTGAAGATGGGAGAGGGAAGGACTGACAGAGGGAGCAAGACAGTGAACTAGAAAGACAGGCGACTCTCCTGTGCCTGCCCCTTCAACATGTGTCAAGAGGCCACCTGCACTGTCAGACAGAGGATAGCGGATGTGAAGGTTACAAAGGTCTCCACTTCCTGAACGCTCATCCTGTCCTGTGCTGACCTCCCGCTGCTGCAAGCTGCTCTGTGGGGAAGTGCAGGGAGGACAGTGGAGGGCGGGCCCCTGGCTTGCAGTCTGAAGGAGGGAGGATGAGCTGGTTCCTGCTGAGGCTGACCCTCACAAGCCCCGGTCTGCTGTAATTTGAAAGTCTAGGGAAACCTCCATCCCATCGCTAAGGTCAAAGTCTTTGGGGCTGAGTCTTGAACTAATGAAGAGATTCTCTGGGCTGAAGACATGTGTGTCCTTAAGTGGAGGCCACATGTTTGATCCTTGATCTATAATTAGAAATGAATGTCATTGTACCTGAGCTACCAGAGCCTTTCCTGAAAGCATGTTTCAGAGGGCGGACAAAGTGTGAATTACAAGTGCGAATTATAAGCAGCTCGGTGGGGAGGGTGGCTAGAGGGAGGTGGTGTTTAATTCTTACTTCTGCCCACAGCTGGCTCTGGGACACCAGATGATTCTGAGCCTGGATGGTAGGTTTCTCTGCTGACGTGGGGCAGGAGGACCCTCCCACTCTTTCTTTGTGAATCTCTATGTTTAGGTCCCTGCCTCCAGTCCTGCAGGGTCCTCTCAGCTTTGGCATCTCAGAGACAGAAAGAAAAACACATCCTGATGAGGGCAATAACCCCTCTTCCTTGGGCAGCTGGTGGACAGAGGACTTTCAACACACAGTCTTATCAGGCATGTTCAAGTTCAGCTACAGCATGAGAGTGCTTGAGTGACTGTGGACAAGCTGTCACCTATCTGAGCCTCAGTTTCCTCACCTGTAAAATGAGGATAGCATGAGGCTGCTGGGAGCTCATCCTGATGTTTAAAACTATAAAACGCTGTCCCTACAGCAGTTGTGATTATATTGTAGACATGTTATCTTCAGAGCAGAGCCACGTCTGTTTCCTGCTATGTTTCTCAGGTCCAGCAGAGTAAGTGATAGAGGAGGAGTTTTACAATGCTTGCTGACTGATGGATTGCAGGACACTTACTTAACAGAAAAAGAGAGTGAGTCATGGAGGAGTGAAGACCCAAATCCGGTCACCCTGATGCCCAGGCCCAGAGCACCACAGAAAGGGCTGGGGGTGGGGCAAAGAGAGGGGGAGAGAGAGAGAGAGAGAGAGAGAGAGAGAGAGAGAGAGAGAGAGAGAG